GCTGAACCATTGCAAGAGAGGAACAGAACCATTAAGTCAAAAGGAGACAGGCCGAGAGGACCGAGATGTCCTGCTCTCATCAGCGAATCATCACATCAGCCATTTGCTTGAGAAAACACTATCAGTCCTCAAAACATAGCTTGTCAAGTTGGATCTCTAACTAAGGCTAACTTCCTCCAATGCGAAAGTCACCAGAGCTAAACTGGAATTACAAATCCCCCCAAAATATCAAAACCAGTTTCTTTCATTTATGTGTTGACTTTTAATTTTAATTTTTTTGTGACTACTTCAGTAGTTGTTCAGTCACAGTATCTCAGTCCAGGCAAAACTGAACTGACATGAAACACAAGCATATATATGTCTATAAGAAATGTTTTGATTTTGCTAAGCCACCGCACTTGACTAACAGACAATACTAAAACATGAAAAAGATATTCTAGTTTTAAACTCCTTGCAAGTTGCTTTTGAAACCTGTATTCCATGCCATCAAGTGGCATAACTACTATTTTAAAATAGTGAACGCTTCTAGAAATTGCTTTCCATGCAATTAATGAATTCTTAGAGTCACTCCAGCACACCCTCCTTAAAGGCAGGTGAAGGAGGGGGAAGATTAGAAAGTTCCTACACCTCCACAAAGAGGCTTCAGACTTAAGAAAACAGTAAAATACGAATACTTCAAAGAAAGCTATAAAATAAAGACGACTTTTCATTGTTAGCCTTTAATTTTCTGTTTTTGTTAGCAAGTCTAACATTATCCAAATTTTCTGATGTACATGCTGCAATCCCAACTTAAAGCTCAGCAAATCTCTTCTTAGCTACTTGCTTTTAAACTGTGTCACACTTCAAAAAGGGAAGTGGAGAGTGGAGGAGTGAAAAAAGGCAAAAGAAGTGGAGCAAGCACACAAATGCTTCGAAACTTTTCAGCATCCACAAGAACAGCAATTCTGGGAGATCCTCATCTACTCATAGGAAACAAGAAAGATGAAATTCCTTGAATATGGGTAGATTTGCCTTCATCTTAAAAAAAACCTCTCTAGATTCATATCAGAGTAATTTCTTCCTGCCATGTAACTACCCTTTGAGAGCTGTATCAAGGATTTTCCCTGAGGTTCTTTGCATCAAGGCTATTCTGTAGCCACAGCCTACTGATCACTAATGGCATGTTTGATTAGGTAGAAATCACAACCTAAACCAGTGTCTATCAACCTATAAAGACATTTGGCAAACTACTGCTGATCATTGTATCATAAGAATGGTGGACACTGCTTGGCAGGACTCAAGAGCTGCAACAGGGGAAGAATGAACAGAACAGCATTAAAAAAGACCAGGGAATAAAGTCATCCACAATAGCATGAAACAGTAAGGTGACTATAAAAGAAACAAATTAAAGATGATTATCTGCACAACAGAACCACACGTACAGAGCAGCCAGGAGAGCTATAGATACACCTAATGTTTCCATTGCTTTCCATATTTCTATACTTTCAGCTAGAAGTGTGTGGAGACTTCTTTATATCCTGAAATTTAAATACAAAACACTTCTTCGTTGAGGAGGGGGAACCAACCAACCAAAAAAAACCCCAAAACAACAACCAGCCTATGTGTCAGTCTTCATAGAAAGCCTAATAATTTGCCCTTTGGTATGAATGCTTTGTAATTAACACATATAAGGTTACACTTCTTGTTTGGACTGTTATACTTATCACCATTTGAGAAGCAGGTCTTGAAAAAGAGCTAAAAACATTTATTAAATACCCCTCCTTTCATTCTGGTTACTTTCTCTTGCTTTTCTCGCTTGCAAACAATACACACAGCAGCCTGTCAAAGCTAACACAAAATTTCAGTACTAGTTGGTATTTAATAAAACACAATGGATTACATTAGCAAAAACAATTTTTCCTGTAATTTCTAAGTTAAACTCACCTTTCTGATTCAAATACTTAGAACTACATGCCAAAATGGTTTGCAAACTCTTAAAGGAAAGTATTATCCTAGAGTTATACTGCCCTGGCTGCAGAGCATTTGAGAAACACAGTAAGTAAAAACTGGACCAAAATAAACATGCCTTCCTAGAATTTGTTGAAAGTGGTTTCAAAAAAATAATCTGCTCATTCTGCTGAGAACATTTACCAAGTAATTCTTTATTGCACAGAAGAGTTACTTACTGTTATAGAAGGCTGACAAATAAATAAGAGCTTTACTCTTCCATACCTGATGATATTTTTGTCTGACTTGACAGATCAATCTGATTTGCTTTGTTAATCATCTTTTAATACACAGTTCCTACTCTCACAGAACTTGTTAGTCATTTCACCTTGTAAAATGTTAATTTTTGTGTACATATTAACAAAAAGATATTTATTTTTCAGTATGAAAAGCTATGTTTCATGACATATCTAAGAAAAATACTGAACTTGCCGTACCTGTTTAGCAAAAAATATTGTATCCAGTCTGGAATCCTGAACAACAGAACCTGCTGGTTCCTCTCCAGGCTGCCACTTGAAAAGGAAAATCAGCCCATGTACTGGCCTAAAAAATAAAATTGATAGAAAAAAAAAAATCACCTGTGCTGATGAAAAATATCAAAGCCAGAAATTTCTACTATAATTTAACGGTATGCTGGTACAGTAATTCTGTTAATTATTTCTTTCTAAACATAGGGAACTTGCACTGAAATTTTCAGATGTGATCTTTTAATGAGGCAGAACATACTTCAGGCTTCTTTCCACATACGCTAAACAATCACAATCTGAATTAGTATTTAGTCAGTAATTTTCATAAGTTAGGACCAGTTTTCCTGGTTACTGTAACTATCACAGTTGCACAACACTCATTTGAATTTGTTAGTGATAAATAGCTATCAAAACATTTGTTGTTCATATACAAGAGCTGGAACTAAAGTTTTGGTAATCCTTTCAGGTATAAATTAAATATTCAGAGAGGAGCTCTCGTGAAACTTCATGCCTTGAGTTATCTCTCTGAGAAGTAAGAGAAATCCGGTTCTCTTTTCTACTAAAATTGTGTCTTCCTTTGCAGACTGCAGGTCTTGCATAGTAAACAGCTCTTACTGCATGTTGCACTGCATTTAGTATTCCCATAAAACAAAAACTTATTAATAAAGGAAACAATTCTTACAAAATCTACAGCTACATTAAAGTAAAAACTTATTCCTCATATCAATCTGAATTTAAGGTCATTGCCACAAAGATGCCACAAAAGATTTATCTACAAAAGGTAAACATACTACTGTACTGCATAAGAAACTTTTCCTAAGCTCTAAGCAGAAGTCTGAGATGTCTTTTTAAACAGTGGGTCCACTGAGGGAATTTGAAAAATGCTACGTGCTATCATATTCTTTAACTCTTAGTGTTTAAGTTAAAATATTGCATGCGTGTGTGGGAAGGAAGGAAGCTGGCCATCACTCAAGACTAGAAAGATATACATCTGACAGTACAAACAAGCAAAGTTGTTACTTTATGAACAAAACAAGGCAACATTCTGATGAGGTATCATATGAAGTACATAGTGCAGGCAGCAAATAAACCACTTCTCAAGTAACATTTCTCCCATTCAGGTGTCACTTGTCAAATACCTTCAGTCAGACAAAAATTCTAGAAGTACATCTTCTGTACTAATTGTTACATCTTCTGAAAGATTAATTATACGAGCGTAGGATATCTTCACAGGAATAGAGTATGGTCTGGGTTAGATGACATTGTCCTCTTAAAATCTTGTATGTGAACACGAATAACACTTAATGCATCACGGACAAAGTAGTAAAAGAATTAATATTGCCTAACGAGAGCAGAACTGTTCCGTATGATATCAGTCATTGTCAGTCATAACAACACTATTTGCCTTCACATACATATGGAAGTGGTTCTGCAGGAAAAATGAGTTACAAAAGTACGTCAGTACAGTAAATGAATTTATTTAAGGCAACAGACGCAATATCATGTTATGTGAGGAAGAAGGACGATAAAGCAAGGGACAGAAGTTTGTCAAAGGGTATAATGCAAGCCAATGACAAAATCATTATAAATCTATTTTCACATTCTAGCTGCCATTAGCATCTCCTTCCAAAACCAGAAAAGCTAGATTAAATACCAAGGCATTAATAAAAAGTAATTTAATTGCCAAGTATTCAATTAAATCAAAATTCTAATGAACTACTGCGGAAACTGAAGGAAAAAAAAACCAACAAAACCAAACAAAAAAATGCCACCAAAAAAACCACCTGAGTTTAGTACATATTCTTTCAGTGACTTCAGACAAATGTGAATAAAAAAACCATGCAAATTAGAAAAGTGCCTTACTTCAATTTTTCAAAGTTCTCTGGTTCCAAACTCCATATTTCTTCAACTTGTGCTCCTCTACAACCTGAAACAAGGAAAGATACAGGTTTCTTCAACTACCCCATTCAAAAGGGATGCAGCCAGTAAAGACAGACCCATGAAAGAACTATGGTAACTTTTACAACTTCTATGTCCAGGTTATGGAAGTCTATTTACAAGCTTTAACTCATCTTCATTAAAAAAACCCAAAGGAACCAAACAAGACAGGTCACGAAAAATTACTTGAGGAATTTCTCCTGTGTATGGTGATGCTGTCTTTATAAGACAGCTACATTTAAAAAAGAAGCAGAGGAGATTAACATATCTTGGGTCACCTCATATCCTTTGCTCAACTGAAAATAATACTGTTTTTAAAGACATTGTCAGCCAGTCCAAAGCAAAACTTAAACCATCTATCTCCAGAAAAAGACCCATGTTAGTAGACTGAAAATACTGTAAACAATACACTCAAGCAAGACATTTGCATAAGACAGAGCCCAAAAAGTTCAAATACTTAGTACGTGGAAGATTAATCTATCAGTTAAGTAGAAACACAAAAGGAGAAGCATGCCTGGACTTCACTTGTGAGAAAAAGACGTGACAGAAATCATAAATGATTGTAACCTAGCATAAACCCATTTTGCTTCTTTAGCCAAAATCCTGTGTAGACATATCTGTTATTATAACTATATAATCACAATATTACCAAAGATACTAAACGCAACTCAACATAAAATTTAATATTCTAAAAGCCAAAGCAGCCCCTTGCAGGCTACCCAGCCTACTGCCAAGCACCACAGCTCAGCCTGGTCAGAGTCCTTTCCCGTAAGGTCCTCTCTCCTGAAGGATCTGTAACTGAGCCAGCTGGCACACGACCCGAACCCGTATCCAGCCCTTCGCAAGCGCTGGTATTCTCCCCTACGCGGCTTGTGCTTACCAAGCTCTCCGGCAGAAGCACACATGTGCCCGGGGCTCCGTTGCACAGCCCGCCCTGCGACGGGGCACCCACCGCCCTGAAGCCGGGAACACCTGGGCCGCGGCGGGACAGCCGGAGGCCGGGGCCTCAGAGCTCCCCTCAGCCGAGGGGCTGGCCGCTGCCCGCGGTGAACAGGCGTGCAGGCCGCCGGGGAAGCACGGCGCTGCAAAGCGGGAAGCGCCGGGCGCTGCGAGCAGGGCGCGAGGCCGGGACAGCCGCGCAGAGGTCACCACAGACACGTTCATTCCCACTCGCGTCCATTTGCCGCCGCGCTGCCGGCTGCCACAGGAGGAGGCTTTGCGACCCTCCCGCCCCCCGGCAGCAGCGCTCACTCCGCCGGCGCCGGGGCGCGACGGGCCTCGGCCGAACCTCCCCTCCGCCGTGCCCCACAGCCCCTTGTCCACCCGCCCGCCCGGGCCGCAGCCACGCCGCGGCCGGGCTGAGCCCACCG